GAGGCATGTTAGGAACTGACGGTAGTTTAGTCCAGGTATCTCTGTGTAACACTGACTCCAGCCAGCCCCCTCCTGGTCTTCGCTGCCGATGGCACATCCGATAACTACGATGACACAAGCCATGGAAAGCCATACAATCAAAATAATTCCAATAATTACTTCTCTACGATGGAAACATTATTCCCGTTTCCTAATTTAACCCTTTGACCTGCAAACACAACCTCAGACCTATGATAAAAGCTCCTCACTAAACAGAAGACGTCTCACATCTGGATCATCGCCACGATGAAGTCACTTCTTATAAAAGGTCCATCTATCCACAAACTCCTGCTGAGGTCCATTCATGAGTTTGTCGGATATCTTGCTGACTGGGGCAGTAACAGATAAAAACCTCACACCTCTCCGATGCAGGTAATAAAAGCTCCGAGATACGACGCCACACCCAGCCGCAGCAGATACAGCGACCGATAAGAAGTGTTTTAAAGCCGACGTTTCCGACTGCTCTGTCGTCGGGCTCGTGTGTTTATGAGCGGTCCAGCTGTGAGAGACTGAATGAAGGGAAGATCGCTGAAGAAGTGTAAATATTTAAGGATGTCGAGGCTGCAGTCAAACACAAGTCGCAGACGGCACAGAGCGTTTTCTCACAAGCCAACCACAGTGTGTTTTATTGGGTGCTTCAGTAATACAAGTGCACAACAAACCACTCTGCAATTGCAGAGGTGGCGGGTAGCCAGTAAATATACAAGTCCTGCCTCTTTCACAGGCAGACCTATACTTTTGTGGTCTGCCTCAAAAGCCTTTGAAAAAATACATACAGTACAAACAAAATCAGAGGAAGTTAAAAAGCATGAAGGATCCATTTACGCAAATCTTCCTGTTCCATGCAGATAACATACTGATGACAAATACAAAAAAAAACAAACCAAAAAAAACAAGGAAAACAAAGTAAAAGCATATTCTGCATGTTTGTTCCAGGTGCCACTAAGAAAATGAGAATACATACTGTATAGCTGGAGGACAATGCGTATGATAATTATAATATTCTGTGTTTTTTTTCTCCAATACAATACTTCCAACATTCAGATATTGGAAAATAAAAATCCCAATCTACTCTTTGTATAAAAAAGAAGCTTTCAAGTCAACAAGGAACAAAGGACATTTTTTTTTGTTTGTTTGTTTAGTTTGATTTTTTTGTTTTTGTTTTTACACAGAAAAGGTAGATAAAATGGGAAAGAGGAAGAGGAGGAGGACGAGGAGGGCGACAGGAGGGCAGGTTTACCGTTGCACTTAGTGAGTGTGCTTTGACAGACTAAGGGTGAGAGAGGTAGAGAGAGGTTCAGTGGAGGGTGAGGGAGGTTCAGGAGGGGCTGGTCCGCGGCGGGGAGTCTATGTGGCGTATCTCTTGGTCCATTGTTTGGCTATTCTGTCATGCTCTGTTCTGTTGGTCAGGTACTGTGTGGCGATGCTTCCCACCAGAGGGTCGGCTGAAACGAACAAAGACAGGCAGAGAGAAAGGACGCGTCAGTCATTGTACAGTGTAATCGGGTTCGCTCTCAGCCGGGCAGGAATCACAAACAGCACAGAGCCGCAACATTTGCATCTTTCAAGGCAGCGACTGAATGAACGTCTGTACGTCGGAGCGGCGGTGGAAGAATCATCCGGATCCTTTACACCACAGTCTGAAAACACCACACAGAGCTGCCTTCAGGGACCATTATCAGCACATGGACTCGTTCCAGTACGATGTGCGACACTGCCGATACTAAACCAGCAACATGGAGGATAAAAAATGAAATCTGAATTAAAAAAAAAAATAAAAATGTTGGTGACTTCCACTTCCTTCTTTCGTTCACTTACAGAAACACATAATTAAATGTGTGCAGAAATGTATAAATAGGCATTATAACAAAAGAATACACATATAAATAGCTTATAAAATCATCTTCTCTGTTGTTTTTTCTTATTTTAGCCTTTATCAGTTTAATAATAAAGGAGAATTTATTTGCAGTTTAGCCCCTCTGAAGGGTCACCGGATAAATGTGGATGATTAATGGGACAGGAAGGAGAAAAAAAACAACAACCTGACCGACAAATTCACGTTCATGTTTTTTGGTAACTGCAGTTGTTTAAATGAAACCACGTGTGAAGATTAGATTGGAGTTCATTTTAACGAGTCACATCTATGACGAGTCCCGACTGGATCCTATTTTTAGTCACGCAGTAAATCTGACCGTAAAGGATTCATCTGAAAATGACTTAAAACTGTCAAATAAACGTGGAGGAGTAATGAACACAATATTACCCTCAGGCATGAAGTGGAAGTACTTCAGATAAGCTCAAGTAGCTCAAAATATTTCTTAAGTGCAGTACTTGAGGAAATGTTCTTAATGAGGGTGGAGGTGTTAAAATGTCTTCCTCCTCAACAAGTTATTGTTCTGCACATCAGCTCTTTATAAATGTATTTAAAGCCCAGTCTGTCATGTTGAACCTGGTGCTGAGACATGTTCACATCTGAACCACAGATTCTCTCCAAAAGGCCCAGTTCACACCGTTTATGAACACGTATGTCGTTACATCATGTGAATGACGTCTGATCTGTGGACCTTTGCATTTACAGCCTCCTCAGTCATAAGAAGCTTTGTCACCGTCTCCATTCTGCTGCACTGTGATTGGATCTCATTATGCAGATTAATTAGGCGGGGCAGGGGGAGTTGGTGTCTCAGGTTAATGGGAGTAATGCCACTGATGAGTGTGATCCATCTTTACAATGAGGACAGATGTGCGAGCTACTGCTGCTGCTGGAGCGGTAATCAATGGCTTCCTATAATCAGTAAAGAGCAGTGAATGACACCAGTCACCGTACGTTGGGATGTGATCAGGACGAGCCGGTCTACACAGGCTTCAGATGTGATATCCAGACACAGACTGTATTTACACTGAGTCCTAACTCGTCATTCATTCTGTACCTGGATGTCGTATCTGGGTTCGTATGTTTGCATATTGATGCAGGTGTAAAAGAAACATCATGATGGAATGCTGTCAGACTGGAGACCTGAGCTCACTCAGGTGTAAATACACTCTGTACAGCTTCTGAGGAAACAGATCCACTCAGCGGGCGGAGATGTCGTCTACGATCACATTTCTCTTCCTGCTATCATAAACAGTAAAAGCTACAAGCAGCAGGTACAGGAAACAGATCCACCCTCACAGAGCGTCATCCAACAGTGAATGAAACCCGTTCACGGTGTCCATTCTCAGACCTGGATGGAGCAACGTTCGTACATAAAGCCTGGAGAGCTACTGGGATCAGATCAATGGGAAAACTAATCAGATCATTAGAATGTGAAAAACAACTAGAACATTTGCTTTCACATGGAACTTATAGTAAATTATAGAAACGTGATTTGAAAGTGAAGGTTTAGTTAAATTTTCACACTAATGAAGAAAAAGGAGTTTATGAGAGATGAAGTGTTCAGACTCTACTGACTGTTAGATATGAACCTGATCACATACAACATGTTTGGTATAAATGAATGCAGTGTTTGTCTCGTCGTGGCTCCAAGGGGCTGCGTTTGTACATTTATCAGTGTGAGATATCTCTCAGAGCGTTATTTATATGAGGTGTGTTTTTATGGCTGACTGATGTCTTGCTAAACTTTAAGTGACGGCGGCTGACACGCTGGAATGTTTGGTTTGTTGTTAGTTACCGGGTCTAAAGGAAATCCCAGCAGGGCTCGGCGACGCAAACGGCAGGAACATTTAATATTCATTCACTCATCTGACATAAATGCAATTCAGTTTCATCCACGAGGCCAGACTGTAAGAAGTGTCTCCTGGGGGACAGACGGGGTTTTCGTGGTATTATGGGGACCTCCAGTAGACCTGATTATACTGTCTCCAGCTCAACTCAGTAACTGGTTAAATACAGTAAAGAGAAGCAGCAGGGGTTTATGGAGACTGAAGGACACATAAAATGAATGTAAACCTACCAAGCAGCAAAGTCTATTCCCTGTAAACGGCCAGCTTCTGGTATACTCACTAACTTGCTGCATAAAAATACCCGTTTTCTTCACAAGGTCCTGCGTTTTCCTGCCTGCTCTCGTTCCCCTCCCATCTGTTCACACGTTCAGCTGCCTCACAGTGAAGCTGGTGCTTTAACCAACAGCAACGACAAGACAGCGTTTTGTTGTCACGCCAAAAAACAAATGACAAATCTGTTATTTTCTTACAGGATCTTATGTGATAACGCTTGTTTTTACTAAACGCTGGGGGTCACTTGCTCTTTTCGGCTGTGAAAATGTGGTTTTGTTATTTACAACTTGAGGCCGGCAGCTGTGCCAAAGATCTGTCGGTGTCAGACAGGCCTGGGAAGCGCTGGGGCTCTGGATTGGTCGCGGCTTACTTAATACACCGTTAATAGTCTAGAAACAGGATTCTGCCTCCTGTGTCGACTTGAAGTTTAGCTTTCAAGTAAAAATAAACGGAACATTCAAAGCAGAGAAGGAAGAATCCACAGAAGCACTGCTCCCTCTCACGTCCTCCTCAGGCCCTGCAGCTCCTCGTCTACTCACACCGATAACAAACAGTATCGGACGGATGCTGTGTCCTACCTGGGTTACAGTCTGTGAGCAGGGAGCAGATGGACAGCAGCACCTTGGAGATGGTGAGGGCGGGGCTCCAGTTGTCCTTCAGGATGTCCAGACAGATCACCCCCTGACTGTTGATGTTGCAGTGATAGATCCTCGTGCGAAAGGTTACCTGCAGACACACAAAAGTCCTGTAGTTTAGAAACGTGGGAGTTTGGCAGCAGAATGCTAACATACAGGTCTATAAATGCTCAGATACAACCAAAAAAAACAACAAAAATAACACCTGAAAAGAAATATGAGGAATATTTTGACATGTGAGCTCATTCTCACGTCTTCTCGCGCACCTCTAAAGTGCAGTAATTAACGGTAAGATGACGACTGATGCCTTCGTCAAGCTTTAACCACACTAGACTCATTAATGTGTGTATCTTTGATTATATCTCACAGCATTTAACCAAACTGTACCAGCTTTTATTAGAATGCTAAGCTAACTATTGTACATATTGTGCTATAATTATACATTTTGGGTGCCAAACAACATCTGGCAACAGGATCCCTGAAGAACATGGACCTTCTGGCTAATTTGGGTAAATTTACATTGATTTGAATGCTGATTAATGCACATTGTCCTTTTTCAGATAAATGCACTGAAACTGAGACGAGCTTCCTGGTGCCTCGTCAACACCAATAAAAAAACACTAATTGTAATTTTTAAACCTCACTTTTTGTTGGGATTAAAAAAAAGAGCTATAATGTGCTAATGAGTGATCTTTAGAGGTTCTGGTGGGTAGATTTTATGACCTTTGGACGGACTGAGGCGAGCTGTTTGGCCACGCGTATTCCATTTATGCTAAGCTAACTGTCTCCAGCTTGATATTTAATGGACAGAGCGGTGGAGACCTGGTTCACAGCACACATTTTGGAGTTTCATTGCAGGAAAAGCCCCCAGCATCTGATAGCACTACATGTCGGTGAGCTAGCTCCAGGGTCCTGGTGGTACCGGCTCACCATCATAAGAGTTATTTAACAGAACCGGCGCTAACCTGCCATGAGAAGTCAGGATGCCATTCTGCTGTTGGACACCTCCGTCTTAACAGAAACACTATCTCTGAGGTCACAGTTTACTCCAGATGACCGTAAAATGGTTGCAGCCAGAATTCAAACTATCAGAGCTTTTACTGGGCTGACTGGCGACCAGTTCAGTCCAGAACGTGGCGAGTAATGCGATTAAAAACGCAACACGTCCGCTTTGTTGACCTTCAACAACAGACAAGCTTTATAGGAAATGTTTTTTATTTTTATGTTTGACAGACACCACATTTGGGGATTTTTTTAAAATCCAGCTTCCTATTTCCTTTTCTCTCAGCTAAAGGACACAAAGAGCTCCTGGTAAATGCAAAACTGTCTCTGATCGTCCAGATTTCTGTGTAAAAAATACACTGCTGCATTTTTAATTATTGCAGTTTAACATAATAAACATCTTCCTGCCTGATTTTAGAAGTCACATGAAACACAATATGATTAAATTAAGTATAATATTGGTTGTATATGATTAAAAGTGAAAATTCGTCTGCACCGGATTGTGCAAACCATTATTTTGTATATGACACGTTGTTTTTTTAGGGTCATTTAAAATAACATAGTTTTGCTTTAAGTGAAATATTCCCCAAAAACCCATCAGGGAATATGTTGGTTTGGACTCTCAAACAGTTCAGGACGGATTTTCAAAACTCCAAAACCAAACATTTTATTTTTATTGTAGAAAACATGCAGGAGGTTAATCGATAAAAACAATCATGTTTTACATCGCAGCCCAATATAAATGCTATCTGGACATGTGATTCCTAATAATCTTAATATTTTATGAACCAGGGAATCGTTGTGCTGATCTGAGCAAACAGAACCTTCATCAGAAGCCACTGCACAGCTCCACTGGACTCTCTGATGTGGTGGATTTCTCAGATGCTTCAGATGTTGTCCCACTGGGATCTCATACAGTCGGAAAATTACACTAAAAATTCAGCAACTTATCTGTTCTTGAGGTTTATACTTGAGCTGCTGTTTAAGATTAAGTCAGTGGTGCTGCTTCTAAATGTCCGGTTCAGTCCAACCGAGAGGCCCAAAGACATTCAGTCATACAGTAGAGGAGCTGCTATCAGGGGATTGTTGGCATTTGGGTTTTTATTTTGTGCAAATTTGCAAAAAAAACAAAAACAAACCCAAAACTTGATCATCTGGTGTACACTGGATTAAAAGTTTCACTAAGAGGAGGGCATCATTTATTGTTATATTATATTTTTGAGCAATTCACAAGAAACAGAACATGAAATTAGCTTAAATTAATTCCATTTATGGATGTACAGAAAGATTAGAGAGCTAAAACAAATAATGTGCTTAAACCTCAGCCAACAGCATGTTTACAATAAATGAGATAAAACTAAAAATGGGATTGTTATTGTCTCAAGGAGATGAGTTTTAAATCCTCACAGAACAATGATTTCCTGCACAGAATCTCGTTCTAATTGGAATAATAACAGGTGAGACGGAGGGGACGGTTGAAGCTGCCGTGGGCTTTCACCTCTCCTTCCTCTATTCACATTAACACTGACGTATCAGTACCAGTGTAATGGCTGTGCCTGATTGCTCCACTGAGGGCCATTTCAAACCATTTGTCACTGCTGCTGGCTGTGCACGTAGCCACAAACACACAGCAGATTTAATAGACATAGTTTTATTGCAGTGAATGCTATTATTAGGGTTTTATTTTCTCTTGCTTCTGATGAATTTAAAACAGCTTTCATATTTAGCATCCACTCAGAGGCCACGTGATCGTTGTTATCAGGCCGACCAACAGAGGGCAGCATGGTGTAGAATCCCAGCACCACAACAATAACAGTTTTGTTGTCACTCCTTCACCCAAGTGTCAATTAGTTGCTTTCCTTGTCACAGTAAACAGTCTTCCCCAAACACACATTCCTCCGCTGTGACCCACAACATGTAACACAACACGGCCCTCTCAGAGACCTCCTCCCGCCTCACAGCCTCCGACCACTGGGCTCTGCCCGTCTGCCATCTCGGCTTCACATCTGTTTGGTCCTGACACTTGACACCCCCGTTTGCCCTGCCGCTCCAATCACCAACATCTGGCCGCCCTGACCCCGACCCTCCAGAGGAAATCTTTAACGAGTCTTGGCATTCTCAGAAATCACACGAGGCAGGACGTTATAAATAACCGAGCCCTCCGCCTCCACCGCCTCTGCGGACACGACGCTCCTCTCCTGGCTCTGGTTCAGAGGCAAAGACGCATCCACCTGGTGGACTTGTCAGACCGAGCGAGGGGACTCTTATTTCGCTTGCAGAGTGTTGAGATTTTGAGAGCGGGTCGGGTTTGTGGATCCAGAATTCCCAGGCCTCGGATCTGAGGGCGTTCGGCAACTGAGCTTCACTGGAGCATTTCTATAGTGAGGGACTGTATGGCAGCTAAGGGTGTGTGTGTGTGTGTGTGTGTGTGTGTGTGCGCAGGGGGGTTTGGCTGCAGATCACAGTGTGTTGGAGGGGTAGGAGGTATTGAAGGGGGCGGAAACACTCGAGCCCCGCTGGCTACAGAAAGCTGGGCCGGAGCCTGTGGATTTGTTTGAGTCTGCTGTCAAACACAGAGCTGGTGGTTACACAGCACAAAGAAGGAGAAAGAGGGAGAGGAGAGGGAGAGCGAGCACGGGGAGGGGTGTGCATAACAGCGAGCGAGAGAGAGGGAGGGAGGGAGTGAGAGAAAATGAAGGCCAAGTGAAAGGGTAATCGGGTACACTGCAAACTAAAAGGAGATTGTCCCTGACAGTCTGCGTGTTCAGTAACGACATCCACTCAACATCACTGAAGTCCTCCGTAGACGACGCCGCATAAAACAAGGAGAGGAGTCCTTCACTGGATGAGCCGTGAACAGGTCGGGCTTCAGCGCTGCCCAGATTCTCACCTCAAATCACAACGTTTCTCATAAAACAACAGAAAAGTGCGAAGCGAGCTGTAGAGCAGCTGAGTCAGACAGCTGCAGGAGAGCCTCTGGACTACTGACACCGCTGTGGTTCTAAGGACTCTACTATCATCACTTCTCCCAACCGATTCTGTATTTTTTCCACAGAACACCATCAGCCGTCTATTTGTTGGTCCATCCTTTCTGTACCTGCTCACCATACAGAGCCAGGGACCTGCACCAGGTCATGGAACCACGAGGAAACCGCATGATGTGAAAACAGAAAAAGATCAATAATCACATAATGTCATTGGCTGTTAGAGGCTGTTTGGTGGGAACTACTTTTAGCTCAATGTGGAGCTCTGCATTTCCTCTCATCAGTCGATCAAGAGAAGATTAACCAGTACTTAACATTAACTACTAATCAACTAGTTTGAGAATCGATTAATTGTCTACTTTACATGCAACATGTGCAGGCTTCATCTCCTTATATGGTCAGATTTACATGTTACTCAGAGTATTAAAACTTCCATTTTGCAAACTGCTAACCAGTTGACAAGGACACTGTCGATGTAAAACTGGACTATTGTGCAGGAATAAAGCCACATACAGGTAATCAGTCCTGACAAACCATTTAGCTGCTGCAATGGGAAAGCAGACGAGGTTACACGCTTTAGCAAAGAGTGCATTTTGCACTTTCAGCTGTTCTTTTTCAAGAGCTATTGATATTTTCAAACAAATCAGAATTAAAGGGGCTATAATCTAAATTTTCCTGGCGACAATGGATGAACAGCAGATGACAAAGTGTTATGTGGAAGGCGTTTCTTATGATGGAAACCTCAGAGGAGAGTGTTTCATCCTCCTTCATCTCATTGTTTAGATGCTGCTTTGTATCTGTCGGTAATGATAGTCCACGTGAGCGTGAGTAACTGCACATTATTCTGCACAAAAATAAAATATTACAGGACTGCGTAAGATGAAAGGAAATGTGTGGTCATGCTGTGTGCATCACTACAGTCCAATCTTAGCTCCAGTGCAACTTTTCCAGATCAAGAAATGAGTCAGATATGTTCTCCTCACTTGCAGTCCTTCCACGCCCTGTGCAGTGCAGTGTGAAGTCGATGTTTGGTCTGCTTACTCAAACATCCAAACATTTTAACAGTTATGTCTTCAGGCTGCTGACCTTGGGGGGTTTGAAGGGGTAGTCTGGCGTGAAGGCGATGTCCAGGAAGAAGACCCCTCCCTCGTACACGGAGCCCGGAGGCCCCAGGATGGTCGACCTCCACTCGTAGATATTGTCTCCTTTGGGGCCGGCGCTGGAAAATTGAAACAAAAGACTGGTTAATATGTTAATCAGCGCAGCGCGTTGGAATCGACATCCTGGCGTTCAAACTGCCAGCGGGCTGACAGAGATTTGGGGGAAAGAGCAGCTGAGGCGGTAAATGCTGGCTTGTGACAAGTTAATGATGGAGATTTGGGGAATGCTGAAGCCGTGGAGGTTTGAGAGTTTTTAGTTCAAGGCTATTTTAGTAGGATTAACATTATCTTTCAAAATTTTGATAAGAAGATTGGATTTTCCCCTATTGGGAGCTAAGGAACTAAAGCATTTCTGACACACTGACACACACTAATGATACCGTATAAACAAGCATCTGAGCGCTCAGCAAAACCAGAAATGCAAGAAAGTCTTTTACATACAAAGAAAAGAGCTACTGTATGAAATAAGGTATAAATGGGCTGAGCTGTGCAAAAATGATTTCATATTTGAGCCGTTTTTTTTCTTCATGAGATGAGTATTTATGCTGAGTGGAGGCTGAAGGTCACATCTGCTGTATAGGCCCAGTAATTAATGCCATTTCCATATTAAGGGCTCCCTCCCCCACTGTTGTTTGTGGTAAGACCCTGATGTGGCACCGAGCCAGAAAGAGACCGGGACAATGTCCAGATCACAAAGCCTGGGACAATGAACAATCCCTGCGATTTCGTGTAATTACCAGGGACGGTGTTTAACGCCAACCCTTAGCTGCTGGCAGATGTGCTTACAAATGTGAACAGCAGACGCACAGTGTTCGCTCTCACTCACGGCTGCGATATCACTGTTCACTTTTATTTTAACCAATAGCGCCAGACAGACATTTCCTGGTAGTGACTGTGTAATAGCCTCAAACGGCAAACTGCTAAAAGCTGCATCTGGCTCCGAGCGTGCCCTTGACAATAGATCACTCTCCATAAATAGAAATTAGACATTAGACGTTTCCTTCCTCCTTCGGTATCAACACACACAAATTTCCACTAAGCTACTTTGCCACTCTTTCACACTGGCCCTCTCTTAAAGCCTTCTTTAATTAGCTCATTATGATTAGTAGGTCTCTGGGGGATTACATCAGAATACAGTGTTGATAAGAAATTCTCTGGTCTGTTGTTGCAGCCACAAAGAAGATCTTAGATTTATTTATTTTTTTTCTGTTAGAATAAAAATACAAGAACAAAAGGATGAGCGGGTCCCTGTCCGGATGGGGACACACTCTGGTAAATTATCTCAGTAAAATTCACACCGACTATGGAACATTAACGGCGGCGGCGGCGGCGTTTGTTTTGGCGGGCGGGCGCGAACAGGGCAACCTGAACGTTTTCAAAAGGCACCAAATTGCAGGCTTTGTTTCTCCTCCAAACAAACTGTGCTGCATTTTGTTTGGACAGAGAGCAACATCTAACCAAGCAGCTAAAGGAAATGGCCTCAAAATAGAAAGATTTATAGACGCAGGGACAGATGTTGATACCTGATAGGCAGCAGCTTGCGCCTGTCATAACAATACAAAGTGAGAGCAAACCGCATTATGATCTGCAGCCCATATTTAGCTGTCCCTGCATTCTTCTGCTGTGTTATTTAACTGAAGCTGAATCAGAGCAAGACAAATTCAGTGTTCCCAATATGAGCTGACACAAACTGAAAAGGTCTGGAGACGAGATGTCATGCTGCCAAATCTCTGTCCACTAAATGATCTACTTGAAGGAGCTGACAAATAGCCACCAGAGGTCTTTGACTCACCGCTAAAGCTGCCAAATTAGCGTGTTAGTATTTTTTGTCCCTCTATAAATAAATACAGACATGCAAACAGATCTCCGAGATTTAAGACTAAGCAGAAGCCGAAGCAAAGATGCCACAGATACGATTACTTTCTTGTAGCATTGCTAATTACTAAATCTGCATAGAAGGAGCTCATGAACAAATAACTTGAGAATCCAAGATCCCAGCCATTAATTAGCTGACCAGTTGTCGAGGGCCACGTTCAGAGTGACTCCAGCTTTGCCTTGTCACACATTTGAATGATGCCAACACAAGATCCTCCAGAAACACACACATTCCTGATGGCAGTGCTTTGTAATGTAAACCACGACTGATTCGATAAAAGGTCAAACGTTCACCGCTATGACTCGTGAAATCCTGTTTCTGAGTATTACAAACTGCTATGGAGTGTTCTGGAATCTGGCGAGCCTTCAAACTCACACATCTGTGACTGAAACTGGACTTTCAGGACTGTGCTTAATGTCTCACTGGTGCTGCAAGTGACAGACCTCCACCAACGCAGCCGCCTGAGCCGTTTTAATGTGAGGCTGTTTCGCACTCAAAGAAAAGGCAGCCTTCAGCCGTCACTACGCTGGAGGCATTGATCATTGCTCACACAAACTGTGACGTCAACGCAGCGCCACAACCGTTTACGCTCCCGCTTGAGGCGCACTTGACTCGCTGCAGTCTCCTCCTAAATGATAGGCGTCCGTGCTGAGAAAAATACAATCTGCACGGCTGGACTAGAAACAGAAGAGGTAATGTACAGGAAGTGAATCAGCCAGACACCGTCCACAGTTGTCTGCAGAACGTCTCATCTTTTCCAATTGTTGCTGCAATCTCCCTCCATGAGTTCTGTGCCATCTGGGAATCCCTCTGCTCCCGCACTGATGGATAACAGCGCCTACAGCTCACTTATTTTGCATAAAGCCGTGCACACCGGGATAAAAAACCTGGGAGGTGCACAACCAGCTGCAGTGACACCAAAGAGCGCTGAGCGCCAACAGTAACGATGTCATTTTTGGCACACGTCGCCATGCACAAGGGCGACAACAGCTAGAACGCTCTGCTTCAGGGTTTCAGCACATCCTCTGCAAGTAGGGACTGACCAGATGTGTGGGAAAGAGAAACTACCCCGGGGTTAAACTGCAGTGCAACATTATGAAGGCTTTTCAGGTAAGACTGGCCCAAAGTGTGCCTGAAGACTGACCGACACCTAAAAAGATGAGACTAGCCCTGGTTAGGGATTGGTTAAAGATTGGTTTGTCCAACTTGGACCGTCTTGGATGGAAAAGAGCGTACTGTAAGAAAAGCTGCTGATTTACTGCTGTATCTGTGAAGCCGATTATCAAACATGTCTAAGAGAACTCTAACAGCAGCAACAGGATCTACAGACAAGAGATCGTGACATCACACACTGAATGATCTTATCTGCTGAATGTCAACTGATCTCAACTAGCAGAGACGTTATCCAACTTGGTTCAAGTGGTCACACCCCAATATTATTCATAATCGGCTCAGCGGTCGTCATGTCTGTCCCTGCCTTTATCTGAACTGCTATCAGGCCTCGAGCCCGGCTGTTCAGAGGCTTCAGATCAAGTCCGATGACACGCTCTGCAAACTATTCATTGCGAGCACACACCCACCTTTACTTGTGAGCCTATTAGCTTTTGATTACAAGCCCTCCCCCTTTCTTTGGGTTGCAATTATACACTTTGACTCTGACTGATCGATAACTGATGAGGATCCTGGTAATTGTGGCTGATGAATGAACTGGACCGCTCTCCGGCTCTGCTCGACTTTGTTTATACATTTCTGCCGCTGAAAGAACCCATACGACAGCTTATTTTACTTGCTCAAGGCAATCTTTCCCTTTGTGAAACTTTGGCTGACATTTCTGCGCTACACACACCTCAAGGTAACGCTGCCATTATCGCTGCACTATTCAACAGCCTTCCTGACACCGCGGTGAAAGAAAAATCAGACTATTACACTTCCGAGCATCTGCAACAGAAGCAGATGCTCACTTCTTCTGAGGCTGATGAGTCTGTAGCAGGGATAACAACTCAGACATGATGGAAAGATAGAGATGAGCGAGCACGGCAGAGGTCCTCACTCAGCGGCGAGATTGCTGTAGGGGATCTGACAACCGCACAAGGGCTGTGGATAAAGGCTAAGTCAATAGCTGAATGTGCATGCCACCGCTGGCTGTTGCTGGGAGACCTCGTCCTCCCCCCGCCGGTTCGGGTGTTTCTGGGGTGCTTTGTTGCAGCTGGTTGAGGGCCAGCTCATTCAGGATCTGACAGCCTCTCGCTCGGCTTTCAGTCTGGAAGAGGTGAGCGGTGTGGCAAGAAGCTCGAGTTGAGTCACGTCAACTCATTCGCAGATTTATAGCTTCGAGTGTTTGCACGAGATTCCATTCAGCGAGCCGTAATTAATGCGCGATAATGTCAGGAGTTAAATGTCTTATGATTCCTTGACCCTGGTTAATAGCTGTGCAAAATACTACGCTCTCCGGCTGACACACTGAATTCACAGTAATTAGTGGGTAATCAAGGCCTTATATAAATTTCACCTCTGCAAGCGTAACTTTAAACTAACAGGCTCATATTTTAAGGTTGTGTCTCGTCATGCTTCACAACATCAGGATCAATGTGAAGTCAGCGAAGGTGCTACGAAGAACAAACCCGGAATAATCCAACAGCTGGCCCTGAAACAGAGATAAATATCACCTGTCACTTCTGTCTTCCTCTCTTTGTGGAAAAACAATCTCCTCTTCAAGCAGACAGATGATGTTAGCTGCTGCAGCGCTACCGTTGTAGGCTTAAATAACAATAACCTCTGTGTAAACAACATTACATCTGCAGTGCACTGTCAGCCAAATGCCTTGATTCACTGAATATTTGGGTCATTTGTTTCAGGGTCTGGGATACATTAGTGTGCGGGTGTCCGTGAAAATCTTGCCACTGCCCTGTCCTTTGAGATTACAGTCATGTAAAAACCCACTTTGACAGCTGTGCTGCTTCCTCCCCAACACAGCACCAAAATAGTGTTTAACCACAGCTTCTCACTGCTCTCTTTCTTTGAGGTTTTGTTCTTTCCTCTGACGCTTCTTATGCTTTAATAGAAACAACAGAACGCTCTGCCTGTGTCGTCAGCATGATTCAGTCAAAGTTGTGTTTGTGTTACCTGTGAGAAGCAGCCAGTAATTGCATCTCACACTGACCTTGTTCGCCGCTTCACCTTAAC